CCCCAAAACCCCAAAACCCCAAAACCCCATCAAGAAAAGTGGAATATCATTTTATCAAATAATTGCAATTTAAATTAATTTTATTTTCAAAGGGTTTCAGTTCTATCTACGATTAAATTATTGTTATTGTCAGCACCTTTTTTGATGAATTTATCAATGTTTCTCCTAACTGGCTTCTTGAGATTATAGACATTCTAAAACTTAAACATTGAACTTTAGTATGCTTAACTTCCGTGAGATATCTGGCCGGACTTAAGCTTATTCAGTAATTTTTCAATTTCTTGCTAATTTTTAAGATTAGGCTGCTATCTTAAGTGAAGTTTCACCTCATTATTTGATTCTGTTTCTGATACTTAAGCTGTAACAACTTTTTGAGACTAGCTTTTTTTCATTCCTTAAGAAGTCATCGGCTTTTTTGGATTTTAACTAATCAAATAACCATAAGGCAATGTTTTTTGAAAATCATTTATCTAAGGGAATTTGTAGGCAGACAAGTTTGACTAAAAAGTCTACCTCTAGCCTCCCTAAGTTTGAAGCATTTATCGAGTCCTCGAAAATTCATTCTCATTTTCTTAAACACTATTAAACAATGTAGGCTCACTGTTTATATCAGCCATTCTATGTGCATTGTGATGTTTCATATTGGTAATAGGAGTTTAGTTAGAATTGATAGACATTGCTGTAGTGAGACCATGCCTATGATTGTCATTATTACTCTTTTTATAAATTGACTTTGAATTCTTAGATACAGCTTCTCCTTATTCCAAGACAAAATAGTCATTATTTTCATTATCTTATTTCATCAAATCTTCAACTATATTTATATCTTTGTTTTTCTTCATTTTTCTTTAGTTAATCTATGATTGGGTGTTTCTTTTCTCCTTATTAGTAACTATAACTGTATTTTGTGCCTCCTCCTTTTAGTTTTTCAAGTGTATTCTTTAATTCATTAATCTGGGGTTTACAGTGCTCTAATTCCCTCCAACTATTCTTGGAATACCAGACATTCCTATTGTTGATACTTCTCTGAATGATGGATTTGTCATATGCAAATTTAGATCACTATTTAGTGACAGAGTTCTTGAAAAGTTCTGGTTAGTCTAAAAGCCTGAATTTCTATTATTCCTCTTTACCTCATCACTAAAATTATAAGTTAAACTATTAATCTTAATTACGGAGACTTGCCAACCCATAGATCTTGAGCAAAATATTTTTCTCCTTTTTGAAATTCATCTAAGTCTTAGAATTCTAATTGCAAGTAAATTCCCCTAAATCTCTTTTCAACTTTTCTTAAGTTATTTAAGTTCTAGATATACCACTTCCTCTTAATATCATTGTTGCTTTAAATATGCTCGTCTTTGTTGAAGAGTTCTTCCTCTATAGTCTTTGGCTTTTACTCTTTTTTGTTCATCATTTTTGGAACAGGATTAAGCAAATCTATCTGGATCTTATTGTAATGCTTCATCCTATTTAACCGATAATAAATCTAATGTATTTACTCATTTCTGACTTGTACAAGTTCTCTCTCTGAATCAGATAACTCTTAGTCCTATTCATTTACTTGCAATCCTTTCTTAGATATTAAGAGCCTATCTAAAAGCAAAGGGCCTTTATTCGTTTTCTTTTTAGACATCATTATTTGCCTTGTACTTTGTTTTTCTTTTTCTTTTTCTTAATTTTCTAATTTCTATCTTTTTTTATGAGCTTTCATTTCGTCATCATTTTCTGAGTCATCTTCGTTTTTAAAAATCATTGTTTCCTGAATTGTATTTAAAATAAAATTTTACATACGACATTTTTTCTTAGCTATTTCTACTCTTCTTAATTAGGCATTTTAAGCATATCAAGATACTGTCTATTTTTGTTTAATGTCAAAAGACATTCATTCCATTCAAATCTAACTGGGATTTATTCACTATTATCCATAAATTGATTAATTATTTTTACTCTTAAGAAATGCTAGATAAATCATCTCTGCTTTTCTACTAATTTATGATAAGTTTCTTCAAATTTGATCCCAACTACCTCATGACCTACTTTTATCCACTAAACTTGCTTTTGAGAGCTTCTCTCTTACCTAAAAATTTAGAATAAATATAATTACCTTAGATGGTATGAATCCTGGATGCAATGGCGTATAATGCTTTTGAAAGCTGACTTTCTAAGAAGCTAAAATATGGAACAACACTTTGAAGATGATTTGGCTAATTAAGAATGTTTATATCAACAATAAACGTGTATTAATTTGCCTTTTATCCTACTTTTCCTATCAGGTTATAAATGTAGTTGCGTACCTGATTTTACAATTTACTGTTTATTTCAATTTTTTCTTTGAAAAATTCTTGCTATTTTTAGTTCTCAATAAGAGTGTGTTCTGTTTCTTTGATCTTTATGAGCTGAAAACGCTCTTATTCCTTATAATCTTTTTCGTATTCTTACTTAGCTATTTCTAATTCCTCTAATAATGACCATTTTTAACCTTGAAGAACACCAATATTCTATAACTTGTCTCTCATTTCATTTTCAAGACTTTGCTTATGAATGTCAAAGGGTATTACTTAGTTAATAATTTTATCTTTTAGTTCATCAATATTTTTAGTTCCTAGTTTCTCAAATAGGTAGTGATACCTTTTTTCTATTTTGGACATATCATTATTCACAAAATCATTAATATGATTCAATACCTCTTCTTGCCGTTTTTGGATAATATCATGCTCTTTTTTTATGAACAGATCCCTTTCGAACTTCAACGTATCTTTATGGACTTGTTTCTTGATTTCATCTTACTCCATAATTGATTTTTCAATCCTAGAAAACTAGAATTGTCTAGCCTCAAGTTTCTTTTGATTGTCAATTAATCTCTTTGCTAAAATTTTCTTGGATTATTCTAGTCTATTTTAAATATCCATCATCTCTTTCTGGGTAACTTCATTAATTATTTCGTATTTCCTCATTGTGTCATCATACTGTTTGAATATTTGATCATATTCTTCGCATTTCTCCTTCATTAATGCTACATCTCCCTTTTGTCTTTGAAGCACTGCTGTATAGTTTTCAACATCAAACCTTGTGACTCGAGCTTTTAGTTTCATTTCTTTATGATTATTTATTGCATCAGAAAGTTCTTAAGTCATGTCTCTTTCTTTAGCCTTTCTATACAAGTCCTAAAATACATAGACTTAAGTCTTAAAAATATTATTTACCACTAGTTGATTTTAGAGATTTTCAAATGCTGTCTTTCTTCTCCTGATTTTATACATGATTCGATTGAAATACTTGTAGACCTCTTGCTAATCCTATGATTGTATTAATAATCAATAATTAATTTATACATTTGAGAGTTCTAGCTTATGCTAATAATTATCAAAACTATCTCTGACATTTCTATATCTTTCATAATCTGTGGCAATAGTCAAGCTATCATCCTAAAGATTTTTAAGTAGATTTATGTTGTTAGGATCGTCATCTGTGTAGTCTGAATCACTCTAAAAGAATAATTTAGAGAGCATATAAATCCTACTATGGATATTTCAGTTAATGCATAAATGCCCCTTTGTTTTTATTCTTAATTTTTGTGCTTGCTTGCCATTTTTATACTTATTTTTCTTTTATTAATTTTGTATTTTTAATTTATGAAATTTACTCTATTCAACCATTATGGGGTTTTGGGGTTTTGGGGTTTTGGGGTTTTGGGG